TCTTCTTGCAGTCCATGGGACTCTCAAGAGTCTCCTCCAGCACCATAATTCAAAAGCATCAATTCTTCGGCGATCAGCCTTCTTTATGGTCCAGCTCTCACTTCCATACATTCCATATTATATTATATTATATTATATTATATTATATTATTATGTTATGTTATGTTATGTTATGTTATGTTATGTTATGTTATGTTATTATATTATATTATATTATAATATATATATTATACATTCCATAAATGTATAATACATTAACATCAACTCAGACAATCTATTAAAATACATCCTAAAATCAAATTATGATCAGAACAAAATCCAGTCAGATGGCAACCGGAAGATTAGAGTTGGGGACCTTAAATGCTCACCAGGCCCAACTGTTTCTGCTGAATGCAAACTGGAAGGCCACTTTCATGCAAGTTCTTATGAAAGGGGAGAGGGAGTCAGACTGAACCCCAACCAAAGCCCTGGCGGAACAGCTCCGTCTTGCAGGCCCTGCAGAAAGATATCAAATCCTGCAGGGCCCTGGTCTCTTGTGATAGAGCATTCCATCAGGCCAGGGCCACGTGCATGCATATGTTAGGGGAAATGTGTCTAAAAATGCATAAATCAGTGAAATTAACTTACAAAAATGTGCTGTTTTAAGGAGAAACTGCTTCCAAAAGAATTCTGATGAGGATGAGTGTAAATTGCTGAGGAAATGTAGAAAACTGAATTTAAGACTGGAAAAATGAGAACCTGATATTGGCAGATCTGTCCCCACAACCCTGTATTTCAGAAGCACAGGGAAACCCTATCCATTTCATCTGGCTTTTAATAGTGCCAAGGCCAAGGCTGGTTCATTTATTTCATTCATCTTAATGGGTTGAATCTGCACTGGGTTGCTGTTGGTTGTTTTTAACCAACGTCTCGTTGGATGCTGTGAGCCTTCAGGATGGGTTGAGTAAGAAAATGTAAATAAGCAACGGAATCATCACACCCATTAATCTTTTAGTAATACAATCAATTCTAATACAACAGCGAGGGTGGAAATGTCAGCTCTAATTAAAAAATAGTCAAGCTTAAATTTGACTGTGCCGATTATTCATCATGAAATGTGCTCATTAGACGTTGGTTTCCATACAGAACGAGCGAGTGCTACCTTCTGTAAAATGAAAAAAAAATATGCTGGTGTGTTCATTTATTCGATCCCACCTCCTTTGTGCCTTTAATCCCATTGTTGTTGTTTTTAATACATGGTGAGTGGGGAAAAGAGTCTGCTCCCATCATTGTAGGATAACAACAAAACATCAGTCTTCAGTCCTTCGGTCCCAAATGGCATCGTTTCCCCACTGTGTGCCAGGGCATATGCAATCAAGGAATCAGTCAATGGCTGCCAATTAGCTAATTTCGAGATGCTGGCACTGGTGCTCAAACTCCTATAGAGCTGGGGACCATGATACCTAAAAGATTGTGTCAATCCTCAGATGCCCAACTGATCACTGGGGTCTGAGGAGGACTTCTTGTTTATACCAACTCATAAGGGGGTCTGTTCTAAAGGACTGGTCCTAAACACTGGCTCCCAGTACGTTTCCAAGCACAATTCAAATTGTTGGTGTTGACCTTTAAAGCACTAAATGGCCTTGGTCCTGTATAGCTGAAGGAGTGTCTTCCCCTTCATCATCCAGCTCTGAGGGCTTTCTGGTGGTTCCCTCACTGCAAGATGTGAAGCTACAGGGAACCAGGCAGAAGGCCTTCTCGGTAGTGGCACCCACCATGTAGAACACCCTTCCATCAGATATCAAACAGATAAACAACTATTTGATTTTTAGAAGACATCTAAAGGCAGCCCTGTTCAGGGAAGTTTTTAATGTTTGAAGAAGAAGAAGAAGAAGAAGAAGAAGAAGAAGAAGAAGAAGAAGAAGAAGAAGAAGAAGCAGCACAACAACAACAGCTACAACTATAATCATCATCATCCTGAATGATGTAGGAATCAGGTCTCTAGTGTGGCAGCAGCTACCATCTGCAATATTGCCCTGTTATGTATCATCTGCTGAAGACCTTTCTCTTTCAGAAAGCCTTCTAAGTGGAGATTATTATCCTATTACATATCGGTATTGGATTTGAAATTGTTTTTGTCTATGAATTTATATATATACGTTTTATTATGGCTGTTTTTTATTGCCCTTATTCTGTTGTGAAATCGCTTCGAGATATTCCATAGGAGGCCATTCATAAATGAAACCTATTAAAATGAGAATTAGATGACTTCCTAGAGGTTAAGGCTGTCATTGGCCCCTAACACTGATGGCTATGTTCTGTCTCCACTGTCAGAGGCAGTACAGCTCTGAATAGCATCTGCTGGGAATTGCAAGAAGGGACTCTGCTGTTGCACTCATGTTCTGCTTGTGGGTTTTCTGTAGACAGCTGGTCAGTCACTGTGAGAAAGGGATGCTGGACTAGATGGGTCACTGGCCTGATTCAGCATAATAATAATAATAATTTATTATTTATACCCCGCCCATCTGGCTGGGCTTCCCCAGCCACTCTGGGCGGCTTCCAGAAAAATATTAAAATACTGTAATACATCAAACATTAAAAGCTTCCCTAAACAGGGCTGCCTTCAGATGTCTTCTAAAAGTCTGGTAGTTGTTGTTCTCTTTGACATCTGATGGGAGGGCATTCCATAGGGAGGACGCCACTACCGAGAAGGCCCTCTGCCTGCTTCCTTGTAACTTGGCTTCTCGCAGTGAGGGAACCGCCAGAAGGCCCTCGGTGCTGGACCTCAGTGTCCGGCTAGAACAGCAGGGTGTTTGTTGATTCTTCTGTTCTTAATCTGCTTTGGATGCCTCTGAAGATATTGTTGCCCAAGTTCATATAATGGAGGGTCGGGATTTTGTCTGTGGTTGGATACAACAGGATGCCATTTTGAGTCAAGTTCCAAACCATTGCAAAATGCACTGATTTCAGCTAAATGTGCAATAGGGCTGTGTACGGTATTCAGCCAAATTCCAAGAACCAAACTTAGCCTTCTTCAATGCTTGTTATCCTTCTCTTTCTTAAAACTAAGGGGAATGGAGCTGTTTGTTTGTTTGTTTGTTTGCTTGCTTGCTTAGTAAAGGGGTGAAGAGATTAGCTAGTAGCAGGATCAACAGTGAACCTCATTTCAAACGAAATCCAAGATTTCAATGTCCACCCCCACAGTCTCTACAGGTTATTATCCTCTAAATATTGATAGTTCTTACTTTCTCACATCCTAAACATAAACGCATCTTTGTGTAAAAGTGTAGGATTTCAGTTATTGGAGATTCCGCAGACATGATCCCCTGTGATACTTACACCAGAGAGTACTGCTCTCTTTTTCAAATGAAGCTAGATAAATACATCTTATGGCTTCTTTCTCCTCTTCATGTTGAATCATAGAGATAATTAGAAAGGGTCTCCTAGCTTCTCATTTTCAAGATTTCATTATGATCTCCCTAATCTCCTTGTGTAGGTGGCAGCAGATGATTACTCAAAGTTCAGTAAAGTTTCTCTTCCCTGACTCAGTAATTATGAGCCCTTGAATTATTATTCTTTTTTTTAAAAAGATTATTATTTGCCCTCTCTTTTCATACCCTCTTTTCTTCAAGTTTCCTTCCATTTTATTAATTTTTCAGTATTTATATTTTTATTTAACTACCATATCTTCAACAACCTTTGAAAGTCATCCGTATAAAACAATTCCCCTTTCAAAGCAGCATGATAAAGATTCTGACACATGTTTATAACATGTAATTTATGCACACTATGATTTACATGAGCAATTTTTAAGCACTTAATGGAAAAGACTGGATTTTAGCCAAGTCACTTAAATAACAGAGAGTCCAGAGAGAAAATAAATCCTGATAGCACTTTACTGAACAAAGAAAGAAATGTGTATAATGTTAGGAGAAAGGAACAGAGAGGTTTTGCCTTTCTTACGTCAGGCCTTGTACATAACAGAAGGACATTCAACTAAGCATACAGAGGAAAAACTTCCTCAGAACTACACAGCCAATCAGAGCATGTGCTGCCTCACTAGATATCATGCCATTCTGATTGGTTGCTAGGCAACACCTTCACTTGCCCCCTTGGCTAGTTGTCTAAAACACTGACAGAACTGAAACTTAAGTTAGAAACTGAATTATTCCTGCTGCTGCACTTCCAACACTGGGCATCATATAGCATCAGTGAACTGTATACTACAGCTAGGTATTACACAAAGCAATGGAATCAACTCATAGAACAGAATAATAGAATTACAGACTTTGAAAGGAACCCAAGGGTCATCTAGTCAAGCCCCAGCAATGCAGGAATCACAACCATTATGATTAATTCTTAGATTTATATACCACCATTCATCAAAATATCTCAGGGTGGTTCACAAGATCAAATTACAATATAAAGACACAAATAAATAAATTTTTAAACAACAACAACAATTTATTATTTATACCCTGCCCATCTGGCTGGGTTTCCCCAGCCACTCTGGGCGGCTTCCAACAGAATATTAAAATACAATAACCTATTAAACATTAAAAGCTTCCCTAAACAGGGCTACCTTCAAATGTCTTCTAAAAGTCTGGTAGTTGTTTTTCTCTTTGACATCTGATGGGAGGGCGTTCCACAGGGCGGGCGCCACTACCAAGAAGGCCCTCTGCCTGGTTCCCTGTAACCTGGCTTCTCGCAGCGAGGGAACTGCCAGAAGGCCCTCAGCACGGGACCTCAGTGTCCGGACAGAACAATGGGGGTGGAGATGCTCCTTCAGGTATACTGGACCGAGGCCGTTTAGGGCTTTGAAGGTCAGCACCAAGACTTTGAATCGTGCTCGGAAACATACTGGGAGTCCTCGTTCCACAAACGCATTTAAACACAAACACTAAAGCATCCATGGCAGATGACCATCTATCCTTTGCGCACAAACCTCCAAGGAAGGAGAGTCCACCACCTCCTGAGGGAATCTGTTCCACTACCGAACAGCTCTTACTGTCAGAAAGTTCTTCCTGATGTTGAGTTGGAATCTCCTTTCTTGTAACTTGAAGCCAATGGTTCGAGTCCTACCCTCCAGAGCAGGAGAGAACAAGCTTGTTCCCTCTTCCATGTCTCAGCTCTTGAGATATTTGAAGATGGCTATCATATCTCCTCTCAGTCTCCTCTTTTCCAGGCTAAACATACCCAGCTCCTTCAACCAGCTCCTTCGACTCTTCAATAATTAAACTAGCAATTAAGCACCATACAATTTGGCGTGTACAGTGGTACCTCTGGTTGCGAATGGGATCCATTCCGGAGGCCCGTTCACAACATGAAAAGAGCACAACCCGCAGTGGCGCATCTGCACACATGTGGGTTGCGATTCGCCGCTTCTGCGCATGATGTCATTTTGCGCTTCTGCGCATGCGTGAGCGGCGAAACCCAGAAGTAACCCTTTCCGGTACTTCCAGGTTTCGCAGGATGTAACCTGAAAGAAGGTAATATGAAGCAAATGTAACATGAGGTATGACTGTATTTCTTCGGCTCTTGTTAATAACAGCAGTTACATTTTTAATTGCAAGTAGAAAACTCCACGTTTCTTTTCAGTGCTTTTCGGGGGGGGGGTGTTGTTTGGTTTTTTAGAAGCTTGAGCTTCTGTGAAGGAAGAAATGAGCAAGCCCAGCCTTGCCCCTAGAACTATGGCCCCAATCCAATCCAAAATCTGACCTCCCTGCAGCTGTTTTTCACCAGCTGATCAGTTCACAGAAATAAAAACTTGCGGTTTCTCATTTCCTCCCAAATCAATCAAGTCAGCTTCGCTGCTCCAGCCAAATCCTCTTTGCCCCATGGAAAGCCATTTCCTTCCTAAGCGTTTGTCTGGGAAACTATTTTTTTTCTTCTGAAGGGTAATATGTATGACTCTTCGCAACACTGCAAGTAAATCTACAAAAATGCAAATTCCTCTCTCTGCCTCCATCTCCGACCCACTTGTATGTTGAGGATATCTTGCCCAACTAAATAATGGCTAGGCACTGGATGGGGAAAGAGGGTATTTTATAATCTATATTGATGGCAGCATCCGTTCCAATCCTAAAGGACATTTTTCCTTCCTATATAGTGCTATCATCCAGAATAAACGGGAACACACAAAAGGAAAGGAGGTCAGATTTGATCACAGAGCAAATGCCTCACAATTCGGGCCTCATTTCGATGCATGCAGAACTGCCGTGATTTTTATTTCTGATTTTTTGTTGTTGCTGTTGAGGCAGACAGACAAGCCAAGGTATTCCGTTGGGGTTGAGCTGTGGAGAAACTACCAAGCATTTTTGCCCCTGTCCACTGCATTACATTCAAATCTTATGCTTGCATTCAAAATGAGAGTTGATGTTGGATCGGGAGGAATAATGTGTTCCTCAACTGCATCTTAATGTTTCACTTCAAGTGATTTCATGTCACAGGCTGCCACTCGCAAGCTATAGCTTTTGGAGATTGCATTTCACCTAACCCAAAGCACTGTCCTCTTACCAGTGCGCTTGGATTTAAACTGGATGCAATCCCACGGCAGATTACTTATTTAGGAATTAAAATATTTATATCCTGCTTTTCCATCCTAAAAATAGGACCTTCCCAATGCCCAGTAACAAACTGGCTGATGTGGGAGCCCGAGACCACTGAATATTAAACTTATGTTGCAGAACTCTATTCTGGTATGGTGGTTCTTTGCAGAAGATTACATTTTCTGACATTACCAGGGATAACACATGAACAGCATTTGAATTAGGGGGAAAAGATGATTCGGTTTCCACAATCCAGTGCTGATTGTTAGTACAGTGGTACCTTGGTTCTCAAACTTAATCTGTTCTGGAAGTCCGTTCCAAAACCTAAGCGTTCCAAAACCAAGGCACGCTTTCCCATAGAAAGTAATGCAAAACAGATTAATCCTTTCCAGACTTTTAAAAGCAACCCCTAAAACAGCAATTGAACATGAATCTTACTATCGAACAAGACCATTGATCCATAAAATAAAAGCAATAATCAATGTGCTGTACTATAAAATACTATAAAATATATTTTATTGATAATTTTAATCTTTTTTTTTCAACTGCTTAGAGTTTTTATGAAATAAAGCAGTATAGAAACACTGTGAAATGAATATATGCACCATACGAATGAAGGGACCTTGATGCCCATAGTAGTGCAGGAGCCTTTTATCATCTCTCTTAGTACAACTGGAGGTGAAAATGTGGCAGCTGATCATTGGGGACGAGGTCTTCTCTGTGCTGCTTCCATTCCCCAAGGAGAGGGGTATCGATGGCTGCTAGCCTTCACAGTCAGAGGCAGTAATGCTTCTGAACATCAGTTGCTGGAAACCACAGGCGGAGAGAGTGCTTTTGTTTTCAGATCCTGCTGACAGGCTCCCCACAGGCAGCAGGTGGGCCACTGTGAGAACAGGATTCTGAACTAGATGGGCCACTGGCCTTTTCCAGCAGACTCTTCTTATACTCTTAATTGTCTCCCCAGGGAGATTTGCCCTGTGTGAGTGCCTGCAGGCAGTTGGAGGATGGATGGCGGCTAACAAATTGAGGTTGAATCCTGACAAGACAGAAGTACTGTTTTGGGGGGACAGGGAGCGGGTGGGTGTGGGGGATTCCCTGGTCCTCAATGGAGTAACTGTGCCCCTTAAGGAGCAGGTGCGCAGCCTGGGAGTCATTTTGGACTCACAGCTGTCCATGGAGGCGCAGGTCAATTCTGTATCCAGGGCAGCTGTCTACCAGCTCCACCTGGTACGCAGGCTGAGACCCTACCTGCCCGCGGACTGTCTTGCCAGAGTGGTGCATGCTCTGGTTATCTCCCGCTTGGACTACTGCAACGCGCTTTACGTGGGGCTACCTTTGAAGGTGACCCAGAAACTAATCCAGAATGCGGCAGCTAGACTGGTGACTGGGAGTGGCCACCGAGACCACATAACACCAGTTCTGAGAGATCTGCATTGGCTCCCAGTACGTTTACGAGCACAATTCAAAGTGTTGGTGCTGACCTTTAAAGCCCTAAACGGCCTTGGTCCTGTATACCTGAAGGAGCGTCTCCACCCCCATCGTTCAGCCCGGACACTGAGGTCCAGCGCCGAGGGCCTTCTGGCAGTTCCCTCATTGCGAGAAGTGAGGTTACAGGGAACCAGACAGAGGGCCTTCTCGGTAGTGGCGCCCACCCTGTGGAACACCCTCCCTTCAGATGTGAAGGAAATAAGCAGCTATCTTATTTTTAAAAGACATCTGAAAGCAGCCCTGTTTAGGGAAGTTTTGAATATTTAATGCTGTATTGTTTTTAACACTTGATATAAGCCACCCAGAGTGGCTGGGAAAACTCAGCCACATGGGCGGGGTATAAATAAATTATTATTATTATTATTATTATTATTATTATTATTATTATTACCCAGGACCTCCTCTCAAGTGTCTCTTAATGCTAGTTTTATTGATCCAGACTTTATGCAAACAATAAATCTGCTTCTCTCCCCGCCTCCCCCAACCCCTTCATTTTTGCATGTTTTGCAATGCTGCTTGGTTTACCATGTTATAGATCAGGTTTTTATTACGGCGTACTGGGTCTTTTTTATGATTTTATCTTTGATATTTGTTTTGGAATTGTTATCTGAAGAAGTGTACATGCACACGGAAGCTTATATCCAGAACAAACTTATTTGGTCTCTAAGGTGCTACTGGATAATGTTTTATTTGTTTTGGAAGCTACCATAGAAATTCAATGAGTTAAAAAGGTTCAAAGTAAACTAGTAAACAATAAAGGGGACATGGAAATGTTGTCATTCCTGAACTGTGCTTAGCCATTCTGTCCATCCACTGCCAACTGTCCCCATAAACATCCTTAGTGATGATTTGCCACTCACCTGCTCCTTCTGTTTCTGCGTCCCACATCTCTTCCTCCTGTTCATTTAACTATAATATGAATGATGGACAGAGACAGAGATACACAAGCATATCTGGGCGACTGCTCTTGTGTTCACGAAAAGCCACCACAGATGGATTCTGTGAGTAGGACATAGTGCAGTTATGATAGAGAGCAACCTAACATTACCTCCTTATCAAAGTCCTCCAGCAGCAGAAGATGGCCAGTTTTCCATCTGCTCAGGAAGGTCTCTCCATTGGCAAGAAAAGGGATCCAGTTTTGCAAATTCGCTTTTAATAACCCTGGCAAGGATTGGGGTCCAACTTGACATTGCATAAAATAGCAGGCATACCTTTTGTTTCTCAAAAAAGTATAGGTCCAGCTTCTCTCCCAAAGTAACCCCCAACTATAAAAGGCTTTAGCATCCCACCGTCACGCAACAGAATTGCAAATCCCTATTTTTCTCCTTTACTCGTTATATATTGGCAGAAATGCTATATATCGGCAAGAGGCTCTAATGGTCTAATTGGACAGCCCATCTATGTTGTCGCATCTTATTATCAGTTGTTTTTTGTCTTCTTTTTGTTGTTTTCTGAAGGCAAGTGCCATATAATCAACATATGATCTAGGTGAGCTCAGAGACAGCTTTGCTCTGCTCTGAATAGTTTGAGAACAGCACAGAATGGATTCATTCTGCTCTGCCCAAAGTCCGGAATGATATGTGCAATTCAGAATGGATTCTAAAATCCATTTGGCCACATGCCAAATTCTCAAGAACTTCAACCCCAATGCAGATGTCCTGACACCTCCAGGGACAACTTTGCTGGCTACATTCCTAAAGGTTGTATCCAGTGCTGCAATTCTGCCCATGCAACAAATTTCCCTATGCATGGCAGAACTTCCCATTCCTCTCCAGCTATTTTCAACACCCCTTCTGTATACCCTAAGCCAGGGGTCAGCAACCTTTTTCAGAAGGGGATCAGTCCACTGTCCCTCAGACCTTGTGGGAGGCCGGACTATATTCTGGGAAAAAATATATGAATGAATTCCTATGCCCTACAAATAACCCAGAGATGCATTTTAAATAAAAGCACACATTCTACTCATGTATAAACACCGGGCAGGCCCCACAAATAACCCAGAGATGCATTTTAAATAAAAGGACACATTCTACTCATTTAAAAACACGCTGATTCCTGGACCGTCTGCGGGCCGGATTTAGAAGGCGATTGGGCCGGATCCGGCCTCCAGGCCTTAGTTTGCCTGTTGTTGTTTAGTCGTTTAGTCGTGTCCAACTCTTCGTGACCCCATGGACCAG